GTATATAATATATAGTATTATTTTATAAACGAATTATAGAGCAGTAATGATGGTATTGACATGTATTTATATTAATCATTACAATTAATAATTCTAGACTATAATAATATTGTTACTTCGAGATACAAACGAAACTTCATAGTTCTATAGTTACAATTGCCTTTTAACAGAAATAATATTGTAAAATTAATTTAATTAATTTTTTTTATGTGTTACTTGAGCCGTCAAGCATCATCACATTTCTCAAGTGGTGTTACACAATGATAGAATATTATATTATACAAGAAAATTACTATTTATTGTTGGATAATTTCGTTACAGAAAAAAAATATCTTTTTAATTGACAATTTTATGATAGTTTTATATCTAGACACGCGGTAGCGTGTCAAGCCAAGTTCTAGCTAACAGAACTGGCGAGCAGCACCGTGTGTAATATTACACGAACCATTTGGAGCCACTTTTGACCCCCTCATAACTCAAAAACTATTCCACATAAACATGTCAAATTTGGCTCATATATTGAGACTAACAAGATACATATGTGCTCTAAATTTCATAAATATACTTCAAACCGTTATTTAGATATTAACGTCCGAAAATCGTCATTTTTATCACTGACTTACCTATAGATCAAAATTCTAACCCAGTTCCAGATGACCTAGAAAGTTCAAATTTGGCATACAGATAGGTAATTAGGTAAATACAAAGGAAAAAATCAGAAACTTGAAAATTTTTAATTTAAAATTTTTTAATTTTTAATTTTTTAATCAATTGATTTTATTATAATTTTGCAATTATTTTATCTATTATGTTTAATTTTTCAATTTATTAATGAATTGCTTCTAATTTAATGTAATGTAATGTAATGTTGACTTAAATAACCTTTCCCGTATCGCCGCTCCAAAAATACGACTAGCCGAATATGTGTCGATATTGTCGACCCGCGCGCAGCAACATACTTTTTTTTCTATCTATGTATGTAATTAATATTATTTTTTTTAAATATTACAATTAAAATAATTAAATAATTATTCTTACAAATAATTAATTACCCACCCAACAGTAGAAACTACAGTCAATAAAATTATGATAATTAAAAATATACTCAAAAAGAGTTAAAATAATTGTATATTAATTTTACATATATTTTATACTCTGTATATACAACGGAAAATATTTTATAGTAAATATTATTATTAATATTAGTAACTGAATTATATTATATAGTAATAAACTTTATTTATAGAATACGTCATGGCTAGGTTAGGTTAGGTTATAATAATTTACATACAAAAAGTAATGATATCCCACCAAAAACATATATGTAAAATGAGAGCCAAGTTCAATACTATAATATATGCCTTGGGTGTTGACTTCAACGACAAAAGAAGTGAGATCTAAATGGGTGCCAAGTTAGGATAATATATTGAAGCCTAAGGTCTGACTTGGCTACGAATTATATATTATAGCATTTGCAAGTTCTAAAGCTTTGAGTTCTTATTTTATTCTTCGGAAAATCATCTTCACTCTTCCATTACTGTTTTAGTAGGTACCTACTTATAATAATAATTCGTATATGAAAAGTAGCCAAGTCACACCTTAGGCTTCAATATATTATCCTAACTTGGCACCCATTTAGATCTCACTTCTTTTGTCGTTGAAGTCAACAACCAAGGCATATATTATAGTATTGAACTTGGCTCTCATTTTACATATATGTTTTTGGTGGGATATTATATACAATATACAACTATAGGCTAAGTACATAATAAAGATATAGAAAGAATATATATATATGTATATAAAATTAGTTACATATTTATGCAATTTTTAAACTTAATTATCAGACGATTCACAGTGGTTCTAAAAAATATGAATAATAAATCCTTTTTTATCATTCTTTTTTTAATATTAAGCTGTGTTTAGTTACATATTTTTGGATTCTGAAAACTAAATATCGAATATCGAATCAACAGTTTATTATTTATAAACATTTTAGTTTATGATGAGGTGGGTAGTGGCCAAGGGGTCCGAGCTCATTGATTTCACTTGCCACATCAATGTTTCATTTATGCAGTTGATTAAATAATATCGAATTGGCAATATTAGAAAATTAGATAGACAATATGGGTCACAATTCGAGTATTTCAAATTCAACAAATATTGTTCTCAATTACGTAATTAATAAAAAAAAACAAGTAACTGACAAAATTACTATCCAACTTTAAAGAAAATCATGCTATTTAAAAAAACTTAAAGTTTCTTTGAGATTAAATTGATTAAATTTGTATTTTATTAGACATTTGCATTTAATATGATATAATAACTATGAATATTTAAGATGAACCTATCGGAGATGTTTAAAAAAGTGAGCAAGGCAAGTTGTCTAACGATTACCTGTTTACCGTGTAATTTTGATCGAGACTTGTATTTTAATTTATTAATTACGAAGACGGCAAATCGTTATCATCCTTACACAACTGAATAAAATATCTCAAGCTATTTAAATATAATTCGTATGCCACATCCGCACACGGCACACGCATAATTTATATTATAGTTATATACAATTTATTTTAATTTTTTCAAAAAATAATACTCTTAATTTTTAAATCTAGATTTTCCATTACAACCGGATACAATTATTGTTTTCGCCTTCCAAATAATACACAATTATCAAGTTTCTCACGATTTGTTTTGAAAATAATAGTTTTACTTTTAATTCTACAGGAGTAGAATACACACACCCATTCTTAAAATAAACATTACAGCCCCAATAATCCCGGCTACGCCACCGGAAAGTGCATAAATTATGCGGTTTTTAATTGTTTAATCTTTACACTTCAATAATAAATTACAATGTTTGAAAAAATATAGAAAAAACGACTACTCTCGATTTTTATGCTCGTACACACAATACCGTCAGTTGTTATTCATTCAAGTCGATTATTTAATGTGGAAAAAAAATGACACTCACGAGACAGTAATTATTTATCGATCATTTGCATGCGTAGGCTAAACCGAAACAAAACAGATGGACCATGCGCTAATCATCACGTTAGATTTAAACCATCGATAAGACACCATAACTGCAACGTGGTTATAACATGAAACCACAGTTGTACCGGAATGGAAACATTATCCATATATATATTTTTTTATTAATATAAAACACGTTCAACGGTGGTAATAAAAATACAAACATATCGCATAAACATTGTTTTAAGACATGCGCAGATACCTACGTCTGTGCGCAACGTTTTGTATTTAAATAAAATTATAACATTTGTCAATCAATTATGGTTTTTATAATGTCATTCACCTATATAATATTAAACATTATTATTATTATTATTATTATATTGGTGTGCGCATAATCAGGTTTTTACATAATAATAATATATATTATATTATGTTCGAAATTACGTATTCGTCGTAAAGCAGGTTTCTTATGCAGTATATGTAGGTACATGCACTACGTTTTAGGCGTGTGAAAATAAACTAAATGTGGGGTTTTTTTTTTTTTTGTTAATTAACATTTGTGCCCGGACTTGCTGTGGTTTAAGCATACAACAGAAAACATAAAAAAATAATTGAATATACTTAATCCAAACTAATTCATTTTTAATCATACACCTACTTGCACATAAATGGACCCCAACTAACCAAAAATATGAACTTACAATATTGTATTACGTAATAATATTATATTATTATAATTTTATTTAAAAGTCATAACAATACATTTAAATGTAAAACTTTTACGTCAAATACATAACTTTTACAATTATTATTATTACCAACAAATTATGAAACATTACCGGTTTTAATTAAACATTATACATATTTTTATTCCAGTAAAAAATACTTTAAATGTATAATAAGTAATAGAAAGTACCTACAGTGATCAGTAATACAGAACTATATTCATAAAGTGTATTTACAAATTATTATATTATGTGATAGTAACTTCTGAATCGATGTTAGCATAAAACAGATGTATGCACCTATAACAGATTTCGTGTAATTCATTATAAACGTATGTAGTACTATGTATCATGTTAACTTAATATTGAAAACGATGTTTGTGTATCAAAGCATTAACGGTTAGATAAAGCTAATTGTATTATATAAGCTTCAAATACTATGTAAAATATTATGCTATATTGATATTGGAAATTACGAGAAGGTACAACATAATGATCTCAAAAATCCAATTAATAATTTTAATTACGTTCGAGATCACAAACAACCATCCAACAAGACGTCCCAAACTTGACTTTTCGCAATAAACAGCATCATAAAAGTACCTACTCATCTCTCTTTTTTTTTATACACTTTTAATTACATTTTCGGGTATTTTTATAATAAAATATTATGGTGCACAATATATTGTTCGTAAAAAAAATAATGCAACCCATATTACATTATTATTCGTCAATTAATATTGTAAACAATTCATGGTGTATTTTATGGTATATATGGTGTTCATGATTTGTACATACTTAAACAAAGAATCGCACTCGTCTGATACACTTGGATTGGAATTATTTAAGTTGGTTTATTTATCACTTTTATCCTCGTTAACTTGATTTCGTTTACGATTAGATATTATCATCGTTCCCCGCCAAGTACAATTTAATAACATTGTGACAACGCTGGTGGGACGTAAACAAAAACGGTTAATAATATATGCTCGTTTTGCTTTTTTAAACGTATCTATATACTATTGTGTTGTACTTAAGACTACAGTGGACACTATTATAATACAAGTGAACTAGAAATATAATCCGATCCATTGTACGAGGTTATAATATTATTAACTTTAAAAAAATAAATAATATCCGTTGTTGTTGGTCGAATTGTCGATTTCATTGTATTGAGTCTATTATAATATTATTATCTCGTCGTAACGATCTATAAAAAAATATAATGATTAAAACACCCATTATTGTGACTTTGATAATATAATTACAATTTTTCGTTTCTTGTTTATATAGTGACGACGTTCAAACAGCAAAAGTTCAGGGTGGAACCGAAAAACGTTAACGCTCGAGAAGGTTCAAATGTGACGTTGCTCTGCGAGATCGACGATCTCACTGGTGATGTCCAGTGGACTAAAGACGGTTTAGCTCTGGGTAGGTTAATCGCGTTATGCAAATGTTATTATTTCGGACAGAATGTTGACCTTTTTTAATAGCTGCAGTGAATCGTCTGGCCGGCCGACAGGGGACGTCCAGAAATTCACCGCGTATAGGGGGAGAAAAATGTGGACGAAAAAAAAAAAATCGGCAATGAAAACCGCTTATAATAATATGTCTCAATTACAGGTTATGCAGCCGAAATACCGGGACATCCGAGGCACTCTATGATGACCGATCCCGGAAATGGGGTGTACAATTTACTTGTCAGAAATGTGACAATAACGGATGATGCGCTGTACCAGTGTCAAGTGAGCCCCGGGCCGGCGGCGGGGAGCAAACCAATTAGATCATCGGCCACGTTGTCCGTCCTGAGTGAGTATCATCACCGCATCACTGCCGTTTTAAGTTTCATAACACATATATACCCATATATATTATATACGTACAATTTCCAATGACAATTTTAATGTGCCCAACAATTATTAGGGACTTCTGCTAAATTGAATCCGTTCGGTCTGAATTTTTAATCACATTATTGACTGTACGCTGTCAAATCGTAAACGCTGTAAATACATACATACATATAGTATATACATCATTTTATAAATACATAAAGGTTAGGTATATATATATTATAATATATATACGCATACATCAGTTCAGTTTATCGTCACAAGAGCCCCGTGTATACATAATTTTCGTGTTTGTCGTTTCGTACGAACAAAAATCGATAAAATTTAAATATGTGGTAACAGTAGCGACGGAATAAAATTAATTAAGTCCGTAGCTTCGAAAAAAACCACTGAATACAATCACAGATTTTGATCGTAATCATTATAATATTATTTTTCTAGCGCTCCAACTCACACACACATCAGGACCCAATATTTTTAACCAGTATTTACATAAATAGAGTTGTATAGGATCGTATGAATTAACATAACCGTTGCCCTATGATATTTATGTTGTTTTTTTTTTCTACTGGCCACTTTTGTTAAAATGTATACGCCAACAAGAGAAAATACACTTATTAGCTCCAATCTAGTATAATAATATTGTATATTGTGATACTTACGACGTCTTTCTTTTCTTTTTTCCGTTAAAAAAGCTGTTGATCTGATGACATATTTGTATACCTACCTACTTATTTTGTTTAATTATTTTCAAGAAGTATGTCAATAGTGAATAATTATTGTACTGAGTTCACATCGTATTTTAATTTTTTTTTTTTTTTTTGTTCTTCATCTTTGGGAAAAACTAATTTATTTTTGCTGACCAATAGTTCCTATAATATATAATAATAATAATAATAAATAAACAACTATGACGCCTAAATTTCGTTTCAATTGACTGATTACTGAGACGGAGGTAGGCGTACGATCAAAACGCACTAAATAACTTCTTCGAGATTTTCGAGAAAAAAAGTATATATTATATTTGGGTACACACTACACACGTTACTTGCCCCGTAATTGTTCAGTGCCTATTGCAGTATGCTATATACTATTGTGTGGGCTGTTTAACGAGTCGATTTGTTTTTTTTAGATATAATGAGTACACCTTCTTTTTATACCATGCATTACTAATAACCCGATTTTTATCCAGTCGCTCACACCGGCGTAACAAAGCTATTTTCCGGATACTTGAATTCGAGGAAATAATGCGCTTTTTAAATATTTCACACCCACACGTCATATGTGATGATTTAAAAGTTATACTACATCGTTATACCGTGTATTATTACTCACACTGCATGTTTTATCAGTTCAAAGACCATAAAATATATTTTTGTACGGTATTAATGCCACAAACTATACTGAATTGGAAATTACACATAATATATAATAATAATATTATACATTTAATTAATACATAAGTATTTCAAACGAAACGCAATCGTAAAATAACCGCAATTTATTTTTTTTTTCACGAAAAAGTAGAACTAATAAAAATATTAATTAACTTTAATTTGATGGTTATATAAATAGGTATATTTCTCATGTTTTCCCACGTAGGTATAATTCAATTTTTAATTAATTAGCAATGTAAGTGCAATCATTTTTTTTTTTTTTTTTTTTTTTAACTCTATTTATCCGTTTCTACTTAAATTCTATTTTATCGCCGTATAATCACCATTCAATAAATACATACATGTTTATTCTACATTTTAAATAACGGCTTTTATAAATGTTAAAATCAATGGTTAGTGCACATATAGAACCAATATAATATTTAAAAAATCACTTTATTTCTTTTAACATAAAACTAATTGGTTTCTAATTTCTAAATACATTGAATCATATTTTGAACCTATAATTATATTTTTTCATAATATTATGTTAACCTAGTCAAAAATTCGGTAGTAAAAAAAAAAATACAACATCTCATGTATTACAATTAATTGGTTTGTATTAGACGCCCCTTATTTTAAATATATAAGCTTATATAAGTGTATTATAAAACCATGAATATATTTGGAAATTTTATTTAAATATTCTTCTAAAATATATGTTATATTTAATTCAAAAATAATAATTCGTTTTCTACGAAGTTCATTGCATAATTACTCGCTTAGTCCTATAAAATTATATATTATCATCATCGTTATCAATCCTAGCCGTGGACTCAAGAAACAATAATTATTGTAATATATTTTTTATTTTCAACAAAATTGAATTTTACTATACCTACACTTAAATGTTTATATTTTTCTGTTTTATTCTATAATTATAATTTGACATTTTGTCTGTGACGAGTTATTTTTTAAAAATTGTACTTATATAAGTATGAGTAACTACGCATATATAATTTACAAAACCCTTAGAAGTTTTAATTGAAACAACGAAACCCTTCGTAAGACCCGAAAATGTTAACGTCCAAGTATTAATTTCCGGTATACTTTTACATATTTTTTTTTATAATCAAATGACGTGTTTAAATTAATAATATAATACTACCGTTTACCTTGCAATTTGTTTTTATCGAAACCTAAGAAAAATGCTGTTAAGTAATAATTCTTTTATTTATTCACACTACGAAGTACAATATTATTATGTTTTGACAATTACACTTCAAAATCTAACTCATAAATACGTTGATAAATTATAATAACGATTCAAATTTATCATTTTCACTAAACAGAAATATTATTTTTTTTAAACAAATTTAATAATTTTATTAGAGAGCAAAAGTATTTTAGTTTGTTATCCTTTAGTCTAATTGTGTCATTTTATGTTTAAAATCCCAGAGGGGATAAAGCCAGATGTTTGTTATACCATAAAAAAAAATAAGTTTAAGGCTAACACATGAATTATTATAAATCATAAATGACGAACCCCGCTCGCAGTAATAAATAAATATGTTAAACATGTTTTTACTGTCAAAAAACATTTAAGCAATTGTATAATAAACTTACTATCGTTGCTTATCATTATTATTTATCCATACAATTAATTGGGGAGGGGGGATAAGAGGGGTTGCGTAGTATAAATTGTCTTCTCTGTTTTTCTACAACCCATTTTTGATTACAAACATAAGGTTGAAATGATCAACTTAATTTTTAATTCGATGGCATAATGTCTAACATGTGAACTGAATATTGTTTGAACAGCGCCGCCTTCATCCGTAGAAATTATAAACACATCCGAAGGCTCAAAATTGGAAGTGCAAGAAAACCACGAGGTTTCTATTGAGTGTATAGTTCGAAACTCTAAACCGGCTTCGAGAATAGTATGGTTTCGCGGCGATGAAGAAATCAATCCCGGTGAGTACCTATAATAATATTATTATTATGTATACCTACCTACTTTAAACGGACATGAATCACATTCAATGTCCATATGGTGCTCGATAGACAAATCAATAATAATATTGTGACGACACGACGACGATAATGACGACAATGAATCATTAAAAATGTTATTTATATTCAAAAACATACGTACTCAATAGGCGTACCATAATTTATTTTTTTTTTGTATTATTATTTACCAGAGCAACGGTCCGATAACGAAATTGAAGAAACCGCGGACGAGACAAGATCCAAACTGTTCACCGTCCGAAGCCGAATAAAAGTGACCGCTAAGTCGAACGACGACCGTGTGAAATACAAATGCGAAGCTCATCACCAAGCTCTGTCGGATCCGCTTTCAACCACTGTTCAGATAAGAGTTTTATGTAAGTTTCCACAAGTTTATCATTTTACACACAACGACCGTCGGTTTAGTAATATGTTTCTAAAAACTATCATATTATTATTTTCTAGCATTGAGCCGGCACACAGTGCTTAAACATTATGTACTGTCTCGTAGTATTTGACGATGCGTACTAGGTACCTATCTCATACCTTTCGATAGTATAAAATATATTATTATCCGGCAGCATCTACGAAATTATTCACATTCCACAATATTGTGTATTCCATTATCTGCATGCCGTATTCGTATATTAATATAAATTTGATTTTAAAGAGTACCTATCATTGAAAGTGCTCCGTTTCACGAGACTATCGGTTTTGGAATTCAGACTCGATCTGCAGAGGATGATAATATATGTTTTGTTAAACCTTCATTAAATTATTATTATGATACCTACCCTAATAATGGTACGAAATAAGTAGCATAATATTAATTTATTCCGTCCAAGTTTATACGAAAGATACTGCGATTAGATTCTAACGATGAAAAATAATCATAATCATTACATTCGAATCACCGTTAGACTATGAAATCATAAAATCAATAAATTATAAAATGTATATCACCGATAGACAAAGAAAATCAAACCCAGTTTTAATATGTAACAGTCGTGTCTTATACGTTAGTTTCAAATTATTTTTGGAAGGGTTGCCATAATAATAATCTTTATTGATAATTTATTAACTTCCTGATTTTTCTTAGTTTAATTTCATAATTGTCATTCAAAGACTATGGAAATCGAATAATGTAAAATTGTCAGTTGTTATTATAGAATCAATTTCGTACACGTCATAACAATTTATTTAGTTCAATAATATGACAAATATTTAATTTTTTTAATTTATGAAACTAAATAAAAACCATTAAAAATAAAATATTTTTGAATAATATATTTAATAGTACATAATATTATTCAATTGAAATATAAATATTAGAATATAATATTATTAGACGAACAATTATTATAACAATTTATTATTTGTTGTACATTATAATGGTTCACAATTATTGTGAGACATCAACCAATTTTTAATTTTTTTTGCGATCCAAAAGTAGTGTGCATAATATGTTGTTATTTTTTCGTCGCATTCACATAACTAATAAAAGGCGATTTTCATTAATTGTTTATGCTCAATATTCTTTGAAATAAAGACATAACTAATTTAACCTAACCTAATACCTATCAATAACAAGAGTTGTGTTTGAATACATCATAAATAACATATTGTAAAAACAATTAAGACTTTTGCTAAAATTGAAAAAATAAACCAAACATGAATTTTATTGTTATTTGCTTCGACTTCTTGGGTTGTATACTATACCGCTGTTTTATCTGAATAGAAGTAGTGAAATATATTTCTTGGATAATCACCAACAATATATAAGTAACTAAAACACGCTGTTAACAAATGCGTTATAATATATAAGACGAACGTGTAAAACTTTTTCCAAAATGTGCTATTTTTATTTTGAGAAATAGACATTTTATGTACTATCATGTGTTTGAATTCACATTCATTATATGAAATAATAAAACGTGAGACTATTATAGGGACTTGCAAACGAGGCATGTTTTTTTTTTTGCCTGAACCAATACAATAACGTTTTAATATAACATTATGTGAATTGTGGAATTCAATTTGTTAATCTAAAATTAATCGTCCTAAATTGTCCAAGAAATATACGTAGTACATATATTGAAAACACTATGAAAAATTAACCTAACTAAAACGTAAAATATACAAGTACCTACCTATTAATATAGTAAAAATTAAACTTCATTATGCTGAACATAAATTCATAGCAAACAAACTTTTCGTACACAAATACCAAACGTTTATAATAGTAATAAAGAACAGTCAATAAAGGACCTGCGACCGTCCAACTATAATCTATTTGCATTTAACAAATATCGCGAGGCAGGTACATAACAATAACGTTGTTATAACTTATAAATTATTTACTTGAACGAACTTTTAGCGTTCTTAAAATATAAGGGTTACTGCAGCAACAGTTGAACTGAATAATGGGCTGCTGTTGTTCAACTGAACAATAGATTGCAGTTTATAAATAACGCGTCAAATATTATTTGATAGTTTCAATGTTTTATTTACCAAACAATAATAATATACTGTAACAGTTTAAAGCTCTAAAACTAATTACTGCAAAGTATCAGATATTTTATTATATTATATATATATATTTTTTTTTATAACATTTTATATTGAAATATTAAAATACGTGAAATGTAATTTTCTTAGATCCACCGGGAGTTCCTCACATTGAAGGATACACAGAAGGTGATATTTTGGAAAAAGGGCAACATGTGTCGCTACGTTGCGTATCGAGAAATGGAAATCCACCATCACAACTTGTGTGGTTCAAAAACGGCCAATTGATACATAACGACTACAGGTACATTATCCACACATTTCAATTCGTTATTATTTCAAAATTGTATTTGTTTAGTAGCTTGATTTATTACATCCAAATCGCTTGTACCTACGATAAAATATTTTTTAATGCGCGTCACTATTATTAGGTATCTACCTACCTCCACCGCACAATTTGATACGAAGCGGATATTATTTGCATTTATCGGCGGTGGTTCTTTTCGCATAAATATATTCAGTTACATATTTCGGTCATATTTTCTATGCACTACAGACAATACGTTATCGAATGAATGTTTGTATTTATATTATAATATAATTTGGACGCATTATTCTTTCATCAAATCATCCTATCTCGGAAACAATATTGTTGTAGTTATATGACAAGAGTGTTCCTATTAACTGTGTACATAATATTATAACATTTTTATGTGTGTATAGTTTTCTTGAATAATAATCACGTCTAACACAAATTTCAGTACAACTGAAAAAGTGTCGGAGAGCACGTACTCATTCATAGCTAATGTCTCGGACAACAGCGCAAGATTTCGCTGTGAAGCAAAAAACTCAATTAGCCCACTTCCTCAATACGCTGACGTTGTACTCTCAGTGTCATGTAAGTGTTATTTTTTTTTCATTTCCAGTGTAATTAAAATCTGCGTTGGTTGAGCTCAATGCATGTACACACTATACGTTATACATGCCATGTTTATTTTACCTCAAATTATGTGAATGAATTCATATTTTGTAGTGCAGCACAAAGTAGAATTGATATTGAAGTGCATTTGATGAGGGGAGGGGAGGGGGCTATCGGTGTCTCTCTCTCATCTAGCGGCGATGTTTTCATAAACAAGTTATTGCCCTTGATAGTATCAATAGTTAATTAATATTATTGCTGTTATCGGCATTTCCAAATTGAACGATAATAGGATACAAGGATGTTATATTCAACCACCAAGCTATCACACATCAATTATTTATAAACAAAGAAAAATAACTATATTCATTTCAACCTTAAAAAATTAACATCTTTCCTTTCTTTTTTTACGTATTGATTATTAGAAGAAAATAACATACAATTATAAAAAGATAAATCTTTGATTTGAAAAATAGTTGTTTATTTTTGTATTTAGGTGTGTAGGGAGAACGGTGAGTTATTGTGTTCCTTTCGATATTTTTAGATGAATTCCAATTTTTAAATCCCCCTCGATTGATATACATATCATACTCCATTGATTAACCATATTTTGAATGTGTGGTGTACTATAATGGCCCTACTTTTGTGTAGCCATCACACATTATACGCAAAATAGCAACTTGAGATTTCGTGCACTTTAATAGTCCATACTCCATCGCATCAGATTTTTAAACCGTACATGGCTCTTAAATTAACAAGTGCGAAAATTAAGACTTCCGTAAGATACCTAAACAATATCTATAGATAGGTACGTCGATTCGCGATATCCGCCAATACACCTTGGACATGTACCCAAAATATTATGTTACATATTATATATACAAATAGAAACTTTTGGTTGGCTGGTGTTCAGATTAAATTTAATAAGTATATGTGCAAGCAATAACGTTTACTTTGTCTCATTAGTCGTTGCACTATGGAATATTCCAACAAACTGCAGGAGTCATTTAACTGCAATTATGAATTTGATTTCTGTTTTTTTATTACCAACACGTATAATATACGTATTATGTAAGAAATAGTTAAAATATTTTATTAGCTCAATATAAATTATGAATTATTTAAATAAACATGAATTGCATAGGTAACTAATAATGCTTTAAGCGATTATTCTAACACATATTCTAGAACATAATATTATAGGATTTTTTTTTCCAATACAACCGTTTTTATGTTTTTTAAGCGTGATGTAAAATCCTGGTAGTGATTATGTACTGCGTGTACCAGCAGCGTATTATTTTCCAGTTAATTTAGATTCGTTTATTTTTTAATATAAAATTAGTAAAAGCTGTTAACATTTTTTTATCTATCTAATACAATATTATTTCTAATAAAAACATCTTTATCGATGGAATAAAATGCACCAATAAAAGTGTAATATTGAAGCATACAACGTTAATTTATTTCTTATTTCCATAAATTTATTTCCTACAGTTCAATATTACTATTTACTTAATTAAAATGTACAATTTGATATTTAGTTTGTGTTATCTCGAGGTACGCATAATAGTATAATATAATTATTAATTAGTGAGATATTCGTTTTAGCTATACATTTCCTTGGTTTTGTTATTCTGAAATATTGCTTGATTACTAATGGAAGTAATAAATACGTACATAACGTTATTCTTATCAAAAATATGATTTATTATTAATTTGGAATATCCATCTAAGGCATTCACCATTAAATATTAATATTAGTATGTTGACTATAATTTTCGGATGGCAGTTAGAAATCGTGAAGCTGTTAATTTTTGTTCTTCACCTGAGATCGGCAAACCTCTAGATACACCGAGAATGTTCACCTAATGTGTAGTGCCAGCTAACTTTAGGAGTTCAATATATTGTTATTATTTCAAGTGATTTTGTACTTTTAATGTAAATTATTATGAGCGACGACGAGTCCATTGTATCAGTGATGGCGTGCTATCACTTCAATTTTAAAGCTCATGCTCGTGTAAGTAAAAGTCTTCAACTCACTGGATTCACGCGCATGAACAGGCGATAGTTTTCCCAATGGGGGTAGTCTACTATTATAAAAAACCATTGACCTCTAGTAATATGATAAAAAAATCACTAAACATATTTGAATTCTTCACTGTGTTCATGTGAGGTTGATATTTAAACTTTATGGAGCCTTTACATATATTTTTTTTATGTACATCCATATTACCAAGTTTGAATTATGATACATTTCATATTAGTTAAAAATCGAATTTAGGTATTCATAAATGAATACAATTTATTTTAAAAAATATTAGCAGTAGTATGGTTTTTTGGTTTGGGTAAAAACCTGATGATATCGAAATGGGTAAGAAATAAGATTTATAACACCGGATCTGTTGATATAATATTTACGTTGTGCATGTATAACGAGTGAGTGTCTGATATTGGGTGAACGTCCGATATTGGGAGGTATTACGATAATGGTAATCGATCGATTCATTTAATTTTTAATATCAAAATCTTAACATAACCCACCTAATACATAACTTAAATCTTAACATGGCGCACGCGCAGTCGGCCCGTCTCACGTCCGTATCAGGGGACCAGATGAGGGGAAACAAGGAGACTTGATAACCCTAAGTTGCGAGACCGGCCGCAGCAATCCAGCGGCCTTAATAAAATGGACGGTGGCCGGTGAACCGGAAGAAAACAGTACGTCCACTAATGTGCCAGCTCCGCAGTCCAGCTGGATAACTAAATCCAACGTGTCGTTTGTCATACCGACCGGACAGCGCTACGTTGTGGCTACGTGCCAGTCCATCAGTAACAGCGTGTTCGATAAAGTCATCGACACGCATAAAATCAGCATACTTCGTGAGTACAGTTTTGATATCGCATTTATAATATTATGTATTAGGAATACCTACAATAATATGGCGTTTAGAAATATGACTCGTTTACGTGTCTCGTTTTGTCGGAGTCATTAGTGAACCGGTGGTTGATACGCTTTAATATTATTATCATTATATTATTATTATGTTTTGGCGCATGTGTGTTGGTGAAAACGAAACGAAAACACATTTGTTAATAATACGAGTAATCCGACGTATAATAGCTCGGCCAGATGTGGAGTAAATGTTAAAACAAACGGATATGTATGTACAAATATGTCATAATCAAAGATTGTGTAGTGAAGTCACACGTATATTGAATTACACGCTCAAATGGTCTAGAGCAATACTCCTAGATATTAAATATCCGTTGACCTATTAATTTCATCCGTCAAAAATCAGTATACAAATATCATATATCCAGGTGGCTTGAATTAAACTTAACGGAGTACCTATACCGTAATTAGTACCCGAGTCGAGTAAGACGTCTCAAACGCATCGGTTTTCAACAAAATATATCTATAGTTATTATTTACCGGTAATCGAAAAGGTATATAATTTAAGGTAGCAACATTTCTGTAGAATATGATTTATTTTCTTTTTCACGAATCATATCATATTTCTGAATGTTTTAATGACAAACAAATCGCACGAACGTTTTGTAGCGATAGTCATCTTTGATATCTCTACGAAATGATTTTTTTTTTTTTTTTAAAAAAACCCTGAGTTAGGTATGTATATTATTATATTATATTTTTTTATTGAAAGATCGATTCAATACAATTATTTATGTTAAATTTCTGGAAGATTTAAAAGAAAAAAAAACACCCGAATGTCTCTCTTCAAATATAGAATAAGTCCAGTAGAGAGTTTTTTTTTACTAACCAGAGCTCGTAATTTTAAAGGAAGTTTTATGCATGTTAAATATTATTATAATAATAAACTGTTATATTTTTTCCAACGTTTCAGACCCGCCCGGAGCGCCGATCATAATCGACCACTCGTCTGGTAATCCAATTCCATCGGGAAACGTCCAGAAAATATCTTGTCTGTCTACTGGTGGCAATCCACTGGCTTCGGTCGCATGGTTTAAAAACGATAAAAAGGTACAGTGTGATATTAAATTAATTTAAATTAGTTACCGTCATAACCGTTAATAATTTTTGAATTGTAAATTGTTACATATATCATTCGAGTATTCACATATTATTTTGTGTGAGTGTGTATATGAATATATTATAATATTATAGTCGGACAATCAAAGTACCTATAACTGTGAAATTGCATTCATACCATTAATAATAAAATACTATTGTAACTGATTTAGAAGAAAAAATTCGTGGTAGAAGGTATAACATAAATACAACGAGTAGGAAAAAAATCTATTTCATCAATTAATTGAATAAATTATTACTTCATATTATTATAATACTTTATCGAAACGTCTGTCATCGACTAAAATGAATTTTGTACAGAAACATCCAAACATATTATTATGTTACAATATTATTGTGAAATCAAATAAAAGACTATGATTCTTTATCGTAATTATATTGAGAGGTAGCATTGCCATTGGATGAAAACAATAAAAATTCTAAGATCAAATTTGAACCAACAGAACAAAATTATATTCTTGATCTGGTCGTATCTTTAATAACAACTATAAAAAAAGCGGGTAAGTGGATGTCGCTCTGCTGTATAGTAGGTTACAAGAGGGGCATTGTATAATGGATTGTATTAAACTTGAATTCAATGATATAATATCATTGTATAAGAAAACGATTCTGAGCTGAGACGGTTTGTCAGTCTGGATATTTTATATAGTTATTATTTATTATATCATGTAAGTTGAATTAATATTATAATTTTTTATTCGTTTCTATGGTGATAAACAAAGCGTTAGAAATTAAAATCCGATTTTAAATGGTTTTTCGTAATTTTTCGGTGGTTTTTCCCGTGGCATTATATAACTATTGAGAAAATCGAAAAATGACCTCTCTAAAGTACCATCTTGGTCCAATTTTCTAAAAGATAAGGTACTATATGTTGAAATCAAAGCACTCCTTCTGGTAGAAATTTTGTATACAGGATATAAAAAAAAAAATTTAAAAAAAAAAATATATACACCATTGTAAAACCACTAGCTTCCTCGCTCCGCTCAGAATCTAATATATGGTCAGGTTACACGAGCTAATAATATTATCTTATTAAAACGTCAAACAGTTTGACGCATTACAATTTATAATATTAATGAATAATAATTAATGTTATAAATAGGATATACAGGATTAAAATTATTCAATCGGAGATAAATTTGAAATATAACATAAGATCAAATCTATAAATAAATCTAACCACAACGCTTAAACCAATACAATTGAAAATATTGGATATTGATTTTATAAAATTAACAATACAATGATGGATATTATATAATATTAAGTATTACAATTATTTCTAACGCTGTAAAAATTATTTGACAAATTATGTCAACGTAAAAAAAAAAATGTAAACGATTTAATAACATATTATTATACTATAAAGTATAAATGCTCAATAATATAATATAATGTTATGTATGATATTGTTTATGTGGTAGATTATAGGGGAGGTATATTATTATACCAAGAAAATGTTAAATTTGATTGTGTTTGATTCTTTAGGTTCATTCAATTGTAACAACTGGGGAAAATTCGGTTTCAGCTGAATTGGCATTCGTGGTCAATTATACAGATAACGATGCTACTTATAAATGTGAAGTGACTCATCCGGCTTTAACTGTGCCTTTGATGAAAACCCAGAAACTCAAAGTACTATGTAAGAGAAGTACATTTACACTAAGATAATACTATATTATAACATGTTATTACCAAAACAAACTTAATATATATTAATGCGTTAATAATAATAATAAAAAAAAAAAACGAAAATTATTACTCGGTAAGATTGAGTTGATGGGAAAATGTTTAGTTAGATCACAACGCGGAAAAATATGTTGAGACTCGAGAGCACGGTAAATATTGAATTACGATAATGTTTCTCGGATGTAATTATATTTATGTTTTCCGAATATTTAGCATAAAATAATTGAAAGTTGACGTACTACACGCGTAGTTAATCGCGACGTTCTGCTAACAATAAGTAATTATAATTATAATTTTTAACACGCACTGACGGCGTTAATAAGATACGAAACGTTTCGGCGTCCGTTGCAGTTTTTCGCAACACCAAATCGGACTTTGAGAGAAAAAAAAAATAGCAATCGCTTTTACAATATTGTCCCCAAACGCACGTTTGTTGAGAAAAATAGTCGTTGGCGACGTAGGAAGAGGTACCTATATACAGCTTATTCGCCTCGCTTTGAATGTACAACGCGACGGTCGCGGGACCGCCCACTCGCGAAATTAAATTTAAATAACAAAAGCAGAAAAACGTTCGGTTATAATATAATAATAATAATAATATTATTATCGTGTTATTATAATAGTCGTCGCACTGTTATATACCTACAACTGCCTATATTATAATAATATAATGCGGGAAAAACAAATCGCGGGGACCGATTCGATCTGTACGACTATTATAATAATGCGCGAGTGGACTGGTGCAGTCTGTCCGTACGACGGAGGTAGTTGTAGTTGTAGGACTCGTATCCCGTTTCGGCGTCTTTACATAATTATTTTAATATATAATATGTCATCCAGACGATTACCTAAGTGCGCGCACACCCAATCTCGAGGAGTCGCGTCCGGTGCGCTGCTCTCGAACGAACACAACACACTGTTTAGGTGTAGGTACCTAAGGATATTGTGTGCACACACACACACACACACAAATACAAACACAAGTCGTTGGTCGAGTGCGCCTACTGTTTGGTCTATATTATATTATATTATAGAATTGGAGTTGCACTCGTCCGATCACGCGAAACGACATAATAATAATAATATATTGTATAGATTATCGAGATCGTAATAATATTATCGCGCGAAAGCGGAAAGCGCCCACTCCAGGCCACTTATATATATATGTGTGTGTGTGTGTGTGTGCACCTCCAGACCAGCAGCACGTGGGGGTTATATCTGTTTACAGCCACCGCTTTCCACGGCGGCATCGCCCACTCGCACACCTCGCCGACTTGTCGAAATCTTCGTCGATATTAAAATAATAATAAAAATAATATTATTCAGTCGAACGACTCTCCGACCTACTACTACAAACGCTCCGTAGTAATATTATTACTATCGTCATCGTAAAAATTACGAAACTTTATGGTACTATAGTAATTATTCTCGGTAGGTAGGCAGGTTTTAAGTCCGCGCGACGGTTATTGCTGGTGCACGTCATAATAATATTACTATAGTGACTGCGGAAACGTTTAAGCATAGTTTTTGGATAACGGGAAGACAGGACGTTTAAAAACCAATAATAAAAAAAAAAAATCAATATTTAATCGCGTTATTACTTTTTATTAGTTATTATGCACCTGCATTGCACAGCAGGCTAAAGCAGTATTAACGTAAACGCGTCCTAATCTATACAAAACTGCCGTGGTATCCCTACCGTTACCGGTACCAGACATTTCCTTATAATAGTGGTGGGATGGTCCATTAATGTATTATATATTATTTTTGCGTTGCCCTTATTTTTATTATATATTATTATTATTATTACGATTTATATTAATACCGAATACAATTTAACGGGTCGGTGTTTCGCAGGTTAACTCAAAACGCGAATATTTATTATGTGTTTAACTCTCCCATATACATATTATATACACACACACATCTACCTACCATGTTATTGGACCGCGCCGTTATGATTATTTTTCAGCGTAACGTTTGACAAAGTTAATATTATTGCACTGTATAAAGTTGATACTTTTGAGCCGCGAAAAAATAAATCTTTTCGCGCCAACCGACACTTTGGTCATTATAAGTTGATTTTACGTTTACTCTATAATAGGAAATGTAAAAAAAATACGTATAAATTGTGTTTGAATAATAATGATTTTACTTCAGAGTTAAAAATACTTTTTGAAAATAAATTGTTAAGATGAAATACATTTAGTATGCACATGACTTATAATACAGACGAGTACTCCTTATTTTTATTTATTTAATGTAGTAATATTTTGTCAGATATTACATTTGTAAATTTATATTTTATTTTTTTATAATATGAATTCATATTAACTATTGTCTCCATACCTGTTAGTATTACAAATTTTCAGATTTAGAAATTGTAAACAGTTGCATATTTTATTAAAACAATGTCACTTGTGATTTGTATTGTGTGTTGTGCAAATTCGTATCTGCAGACCTAAAACTATCATTTTTTAACTCGGCATCACTACAGGAGCATAATAAGTTGTAAACGGTTTTTGAATTTTAAATTTTATTTCATCTTTTAATAAATACAATTGAAACATTTTTTTTTTTATTATTATTATTATTATTAGAAACACATTACTTCTTCAAAAAACAACACTATAACGTGCACATAATATTAAAATGGTAGCGTAATATGGATAATGGATATCATATTTTATTATTTCGTATAGTTTTACCCGATCACCTGAACATCAAGCACGACCCTGTGCACCTGAAACCTGGCGATCAGGCCACACTCACGTGCGAGGCGACTTCTAGCAATCCGGCGTTAAAGATGAGCTGGTGGCACCAGGGAGTGCCTGTCTCTGAGGGCATCAACAGCTACACCAAGCCCGGGCTGCACGGTGGCAAGCTGTCTACCATACAGATGACCTTCAACGTGACCCCCGAAGTGGACGGCAGTTTGTACATGTGCCAAGGCTCCAATCCACTGATGTCCAAGAATATACACAAAGAAGTCACGCTCGATGTTTACCGTAAGTGATTAAATGAGTACATTAATTTAACAGTAGCGCCATGTGAGTTTTGTGAGCTGTCAACACGTCTCGAGGAGGATAATAATTATTGTTTCCGCGATCGGACCACTATAATTCATCATATACCTAACCGTATTTTATTTAGCGGCGCACGAGTGCTGGGGGTTAGAGGGTTATTATTGTTTAATACGTTAATGAATTTAAAATATGAAATTTTTTCATCGTCTGCCGTTTGGATTTTGGTATACATAATATAAATATACAGTAATAGTATGTAGGTACGTAACTCGAGCGGAACCGAAAAAAGTTAGGAAATATCGAGTTTTATTGTAATGGCAATTATTATTTCAAGAAGATTTAAATTGGGTGTGATATTTCGAACAGTCCGAGATATATGACACTAGTTTAAACCCAGCGAGGCCTAGTAATCTTTACTGATATTAAATAAAGTAAACAAATTAATAATATTATATTTTGTATATAATTGATGTATTGTTAAATGTACATTTAATATTCAAGATTTTCAAAGGACATTATTTACTGATAACTATTAATCTTCCGGCCGTAGGTAGTTAATCATTATTTTTGGTGATAACGACATTATAGTATTAATATATGGGTACACTTATCTAGGTATATTGTATATAATAGTTGTATAAAAAAAAAAAATCACTATCTGGAAGGTTGGAAGTATGTGTGGTCATGAATAGGTTTGCATAACTATTAATGCATATATTCGATATGTATGTAAATTGCATGACAAGAAAGTAAAACACAGAACAAAATATAGGGGAGCAAATGTACACCTAACCCTCATCCCCCAAATGGCACTGCATAAAATAATATTATAGAACATTGATTCTTAATAATTATTATAATATTACAATGAGTAATATTGTGGCAATAGCTAGTACGAAGATGTAAATACATACGATAAACTAGAGTATAGGTAAGCTACTATACCAGTATACCTGGTATTATAATTAAATCGGTGTACAATAGTTATTGTCAAATCCCTCAGATTCAGCATAAAATATGAATCCAAAGATAATAATATTACGACGAACAAAAACAAGAAGCAGCTCCAAACTTAGTCTTTGGATAGGGTGGATTTTTTTATGTTTAAAATAAAAATAATCGTTTTTAAAAATATTTAAATTTATAATAAACGCGACTCTTACGTATCCCATTAATCTGCCGGGTTTTTGCCATCGTCATTATATTTTTTTCCTTCAAATATATTTTGTGTAGACTCACTAAAATATATTTTAACGTTCGACAACTTGTACTAGGCAGAAGGTATTGCACTCAATGTCTTCTTAAAATATGTTCTGCTCTTTTTTTTCCCAAAGTGGAACTAGTATATATATTTTTTTTTTAATTTGACATAAAATCTGCACTTTGAATTTCGAAGTACTTACAACATTCAGCCAACAGGTAGAACTAAAAACTGCTGTTCATAAATTCTTAACCAAAATAACGACTACAACTGTAAATATTATAGTGATCAAATAACCAAAGATTCAAATCAAAATAATAATTCTTCAATCGCTCTAACAACCGACGTTTAGAGAATACTTCCATAGGCAGAGTGTTTACCAATAACACCGGCAGACAACAATTATGTGTCGTGAATTAAAATTAAAGACAGTGGCCTGGTCTGGCCCGGTGGTTAGGTTCAGTCACGAAATTGTTCTGAAGTCAATCTTAAGTCAGTGTCACTAGTTCCTGGATGGGTGACCACCTGGGGTTTAGTGACAAAACCTCAGTAGCACATAATACACGTGTTCTAACCAAAAGTACCCTCCCGGCCTCCCTCATAGATAAATACCTATAAAATAACATTCAGGCTAATGACAATAGCTGTTGCAGTCTTAAGTCAATAAACATTTAAAAATTAAATTAAATATTATATAAACCGTCCAATTTATAAATGGAATGATAAAATTAAATTCTAGACACTATTATTGAATGTTTTTTTCATAACGTTTTATGAATCTTACAACTTTGTCATTCGTACCTAAAAAAAAAGTTGAAGGAAGTAAACTTGAGATGATAGGGAACTCTGTCTTGTACCAATTTCGATTTTATAATTTTGGTTGAAGTAGGATCCGTTTCTAATAATTACCCAACATGCCAGTGGTGATCTTATATGTGAGGTGGATTTCTAAGTTCAACTTGCCTTTAATATTCTGAGAATTTGAACGGATTGGTACCAATGTATTGGTTTTACGATGATGTGGGTTATTTCGATTCTGAGCAGAGTGATGTATGTATTGATTTTACAATGTGTGTTTATATATTTTGTGCGTATGTGTACATAGTTTCTAGTATAAAAAATGCTTTGATTTTCAACTCAAATATATATTTTCTGGTAGGAAAGTGAACCTGGTTGGTAATTTTAGGAGGTCAACATTTTAAATTCACAGTGATTTGCATAATAATTAAGAAAAACAAAAAAAAATTAGTTATTAAGTGGATTTTTTTTAAACCAAATTGATTTTTTTTTATTTGTCTAAATAAATTTTAGAATATTCTTAGAAATATAGACTGACCCACCATTTCTGCTGATGAACGTTTATCGTGTGCAATAATTTCTTGTTTAGTTCAAATCAAACAAAAAAATTAAAATTACCAATTACCTTTTTAATAATAAAGTACGTGTTAATCCAAATTTACAACAGATTGAGTTCCCCGTTTTTTTTTTTAAATTGATGAATAATGGTCGCTTTTTATCACAGCAATTTTAAAATTTAAGGGTAGGTAGCTAGGTGTGTAATGTTTTTTTCAAACTTAAACAGTTTAATCTTATCTTTCTACAAACAAAAGTCTAAACACTCTCTTGCCACCATAATATTACGTGTCACGATGTTTGATACTGCGCTTCACAGACCGCTGCACCGAATTTACTACCTATTCCAATTTCACCCGAAATAATCCATGATCGAATCGCTGACGATGATAACAATAATATTAATATGATTTGATCAAATAAGTGTCGCACCATATATTGTCAACAACTGTTGATAACAGCATTAAGTGCCTTTTTTTTTATTGTATTCTACTTATTACTAGTTTTTTTTAAATATTCACATTAATAGTGAACCATGTGTAGAAAACATAATTGATAATAATATACTAATAATATTATATTCGATTACTTCGATCTCGAATTGCGACTTTATTCTAGTAACGACCAACGAGTATTTTGAATGTATTGATTATTGACCTTTTATAAAATATATTTTTCTACCTTGTATAAATAGATAATAGATGACGACATTTAAGTTATTATTAGTTTAATAGTATATTGGTTTTAAACTTAAATCCTCCTTTAGAAATCGATTTAAAGACGTATACATAATAATAATGTTTGTATACTGAATCCTAAGCGTGCTACTTACATCACTTATTCGAGGGACCAATTCCATGTCACTTTTATCAATCATGAATCGTGGCCTGTCTATGCGAGCCAATTCGGATGCCCAAACCGTTTTATTAGTAACCGAAAATAAAAAAAAAAACCCACCCGATTACTACGTGACTTACGGGGGATTTTATATATACCCAGTAGCGGACAAATTTACTTATCTGCAATAATAATATACTATATTATTATTTGTATCAGGATTTAAGGGAACGACTCACGTCGACCTCGATCACGGTGAAATGTATCATTTTCATTCGAAATCTAAATTGTGGTTACTATTATCTATTTCGCGTGGGCTCTCGTATGCGTAGTTTCTTTTATTAAAATATAACTCGCATACAAAACGGCAAAGGCCAAATTTGTTGTTGAATGATAGTCCTAATATAATACATACAATTATTAAATTTAAATCTGTGTTACGATAATGCGCAAATACGTACAAGGCTATAGTTTTTAAAAAATATTTTCCTCTCTATACTTGTATAAAACATTTTTTTTTCCTAAGCATTTTCGGAAATTTATATTTGTATATCATTCAATTAACTATAATTTGTTTTTAAAACCCCTTAGGTTTTCTGCATTCTCTATTTTTATAATTTATTTACCGGCTCCAATAATATTGTTAGTTTACTACCTTCATTTGCTCGATTTTCTCTTTTTATTATTTTTAATTTACGTACTATGACGATGAACGAGTGTAAAACCTTTTTTCACTGTTAAAAGTTTGACCTAAATTACTGATCTGTATTGAGCATTTAAATAAATCGAATTTTTTAAATACTTTTGATGTTATACCTACTGTTTTTGGTAGCATAATAATTTTACCAAATAAATATCAGACGATGAATGCCAATTTTTACAAAAAAAAAGAACGATATTACTCTTGATAGTTTTTCCATTACCTACCCATATATATCTAATGTTTTTTCCACATTTTATTTATTATTTGACATTGGTTAAAAAAATAAGCCAAAGGAAAAAAATAATAATAATAAGAACAGTAAATTTCGTTCAATTATATTTCCATCAGCATATTTGACATACCTACCCAATATGCATATGCCATGTATATTATTATTGTTACCCTATCGAAATATTATTGTATATTGTGAATGTTCAAATCACAACGATAAAAAAAAATATACATCATGTAAAGGAATTGCTATGAAAATATTTAAATAATTATTTTACAGACAAACCAACTTTTGATTCGTATCCCGACTTAATGACGTACACAGAAGGGGATAACGTATTCGTCACGCTGCAGGCAAAAGGACGGCCTTCACAGATCACTTATAAGTGGTTCAAAAACAACAAACTGTTGTATTCGTTACACAACCGGCGTGTACAAGATTCCCATATAAATTTCACAGGTATATTCCGCGACGATGCTGGAAATTACACCTGCGAGGCGAGAAATACAGAAGGGTTTTCAACCTTTTCGTTTATAATATCAGTGAGACGTAAGCATTTGTGATGATAACTAATTATGATTAAGATTTTAAAAAAGAAAAATTAAAAATTGTTTATTCGAAAACACTTTGATTTGGTTTTGTGTCCGATCAATTAGTATTTTTTTTAAAAGCTATCTGAGTTCCGAATCTGAACATATTATATTTGTATGATTTAGTTATATTAATTGTATTTCATGTCAGTAATAATATAATCATTTTTATTACACTATGATATTTATCATTATCAGTATTATATTACACCACAATTTTTTTATACTCAATTTTAAATCTTACTCAATGCAATAATTTATCTGTTTTAGTAAGACGGTTTTTTCCTTTTACATTCATTACTTATATCGACACATAGAATTCGTTTTTGTATGCTTTAGTACTTATTTTCTAAATCGAATTTATGCGTTTTTTTTTCTAGATCGAGCCACTATTACAAATACTTCAAGTGGCGTCATTGTAAGTGAGGGCCACGATGCTCAGCTTTGGTGTCGAATAGATGGTTTTCCGTTAGGTCCGGATCACATAAGCTGGACGCGTCCAAATTTTTTCTTTGACGAACGGACATCAATATTACTTAAGAATACTACTTCGTACTTAACTATTTTAAATGCAACACAGTTTGATAGTGGGCTATTCTATTGTGTCGTTAACAATGGTATAGGCAACGAATCTTCGCATTCTGTAATGTTGATCGTGGAACGTAAGTATTGCCTTTTTTAAAATTACTTTTAAACTAACACTTAACAATATATTATAATTTTATAATTACCTTGAATATTTCATAAAAATAATTCAACAAACCATATACTAAGAAAACAAAATGACCGTATTATGTACAGTTATATGCAATCGTATATTATTACACGGTACCTGCCTATTAGATTTCTTGTTTTTAATAGAAAATTAATAGAAAAATTGATTTTATAACCATACAATTAAAATTATTATTTTTTTAAGTTTTTTACAAATCATGTGTGTTACAGATAAACCCGAGATCCTGACAACGGAAAACGAATCAAAAACGGCTAGCAATGCTGGTATGTCAGCTAAACTTCATTGTCGAGCAGTTGGAGCTCCAATGATTAGATTTTCTTGGGAACGTGATGGGTCGAACATAACAAGCGTATCTGAGAAATACATCGTGGAACAGAAACGAGTAAATATAATTGCTGTAATTTAAAAAAAAAAAGTATATACTTTGTATACCTATTAGGTATTTGACCGAAAAATCAATATTATATTAGTTAGGTAGTATATTATATTCAATAGATATGTTGGTGGTATATTTTAAGAATGTAGATGGTTTTCAAAATAACACCTAAAGGTATAATAAATTGTATAATAAATACGAATTAGCAGTAGATATCTATTTATTGCTATCATGGTATTTTTTATTTAACTTTGACCTATATGATTCTTATTTTCTGTATTTCAACACGACATTTACCGAGAAAAAAAATAATCATAACAATATGCTTTCTATGAATATACTCAAAAGATTTTGCATAGAAAACTACTACTTCCTCAAACTACAACAATAATAATATTATTAATAATACGAATAAAGCGAAAAGTAATCAACAAGTCTCCTATCTATAGTATCGCCTACGTGATCGTTAGATTTTCTCCAACCAAAACCGAATCACACCGTATAGGAATCGTAGCCGGCACATGTTTTACTATGGGCACCTAATACTCATCTTTTGGTACCTACGGCGGCGTGCCATGTCGACTGGTACAATAATATTATATAATAAGAAAAATAATAATATGAATAATAATATATTATTGTGTTACTATATACTATCGCATTATAATCTACGACAGCGGTGCGGCGTCGCTCGGGGGGGATCATATTATTATTTAAGACGGCGTCGTTATACAATAATACGATTACTTCTTCTGCCACCACTACAACTGATAATATAACAATAATCGTCGATCGTCACGTCGCGTTATAAACAACGCACGCGAGTCATAATACGAACCGATATTAATAATAATTTACTGTACACTGCGCGTTTCAGCTGAACGAAACGTTTTACGAGTCGACGCTGACGATACTGCAAGTGGACCAGTTCAATTACGGCGATTACGTGTGCACCGCGTCCAACAATCTCGGGCGGACGACTTCAGTCAACCGGTTGACCGTCTTCTCGCACCCCGACCCGCCGTCCAACTTCCGATTGGCGAACGCCACGCACAACCGAGTGATGCTGACGTGGTCCCCCGGATTCGACGGAGGTAAGACCTGTTGGCTGTTGCTGCTGCTGCTCCAGTAGTTACGACTTTTAAAATACGTCTAATGATTATTATGTGCGTACGACTGGTGCACGCACGCACGTTGCGATGTATTATAATATTATTATTAATTAGGTGTATTTTTAGTCGAGTTGAGGGGCGTGACGATATATTTTTTTTCATCAGACGCCACTAAACCTACTCCGTCCCGACACCCGGACAGAAACGAGTGTTAAACCCGAACCGAGTGTCTTAACTCTTTCGTTCAATTTTTTTTTCCATTTTCGTTCAGTTTTCATGTTATCGTAAGCTACGATATGAGCGAGCCGCATAGACGCATAGTGGCGGGCACCCGTATAAAATATAATATCGTAGGCAGTCAATAAGTATACGCACGGACTTAGGATATTATCATATTGCGATGATGGTTTTCCATTCGTAATTATTAGAATATGTACCTATAGCGTGATAGGGATTGTAAGAGATTCTTTTTAAAAATATTTGAGTACATATTTAATGATTTAACAAAAAAAAAAAAGTACTTATTCTAAATACAACGTCGAAATACTATTATAAATATACAAATATTTAAACAGTGAACTGCGCATAAATAAATTTTTTTAAATTTTGATTTGTTTATTTATTATTACATTTTATAAGCACTTGTTTTTGTATATCCATAAGAAGAGTTAATTCACCCCCCCCCCTACAGCCAAACAACAAGATTTCATTCGGTGGTGGTTTTTTATCGAGTGATAATGTTATTAATAATCATAATATACATATTTACTACCTATTCATGTCTAAATATTATTATATTTTTTAAGCTTATCAACTTAAAACTACACAGGTTACAAGTTAGATTGGTTCTTATAAATAAAAAAAATTGATACAGATAAAAGTTTTAAGTAATAATAATATGTGAGTTATTGTGTTCGAGAAGCACAGATTAATTAATTTAAATATAAATACTCGAAGAATTTACAAGATTGGGTTTTTGATAAGAATACTGATTTAACGATTAGCTTCCATGTTTGTTTCGCAATTTTGTTTCTCTAATGAATACCTATTAGTTTCACAGAAAATCAGCTCTTCTTAAAGAATTGAAAACGAGACAGTCACTCGTTGCACCTTTAGATCTATATTTAGGTATTACTTATTGTAAACATATTATTTGTATCAGTTAACGATTATATGACCGTCTGGCATAGTATTATTGATGATGCGTATGAATTAGGGATAGGAAATAATCAATCTCATGTATACAAGTTATGTAACAAAGTTACATATTTTTTTAACTTGTAACTAGTAATTAATTCCATGATATTCTAGTAGGTAGATTTAAATGTCGATGGTTGAAAATGTCACTGGAACTTTAAATCAAAGATACCAATTTATATAGGTATAATAAATTGTAGAAAAATCGCAATATAGTTTTTGTTGTAACCATTGAATTAATAAATTAAATTATATATAATTTGTATAATGAACATCGAAATGTAAGTGGTTTATTTTTCAAACAAATTTTGATAGAACTATTGCCTATGCACATTGCACAGGCATGGATCCAGGGCAAAGATCTGGGAGGGGGGCAACAATTTTTTTACAACACAAATACAATTATAATAAAATATTATACTTTATTCTTAATTTAAAAATATTGTCATAAAAGAATGTAGGTATATGTAATCAATGTGATAAATTATTTATTGATTATTTTATATATAAAGTGACAATATGTGAAAAGAAGTTTAGATTTTGTTTATTTTTTATTTAATATATAATATTTATATTTATAAAAAAATATATCTTGGGGGGGGGGCTGGTCTCCAAGGCCCCCTGAATCCGTCCCTGAATATGTATTTAAAGTTTGAATAGAAACCTCCATTCACACGGGTTATTTCATATACCGATTAATTATTTTCATTATTATCAGTCATTACTTATATTAGTAATATTTCAAGTTTACATATATATATGTATGAGTGATAAAAATAATAAGTATGGCAAATTTTTAATGTATTATTTTATTATATCAAAAACTTGTAATATTGGTGACTGGTATATACGGCATGGCAATTAGGTAGGAACTCTCCGTGCGTATACCTAAGTAGGTTATTCATATTTCGTGTAAAAATATTATTTAGTATACATTAAAGTTCGTCAACTATTTGATGATGGTATGTTTTACTCGAGTAATATTATGCTCTAAATGCATAATACAAATATTAGTTATTACCTATATTTTGTGATATTTTTTAGCCATTTTTAAAAAATATATTTTAACCCCTTACAACAAAATATAATTAGAAATGTCATTATTATTTTATTGAAACAATAAACATAAATCATTTAGTACCCAATTTGTTACTGTTAATCTATCTGAGCTACTGATACTGCTAGTAAACAGTTTCTCCTTTCCAAAATATCTTGTATCTCGTTACTAGATACATGATTTTATTGTAATTCGTAACTTGTAACCAGTTACAACTTACGACTAATCGAGTAATATGCCATCTCTGGGTATAATTAATTTAGTAGTAAGACATTAGGTAGAACAGTGTTGTTCTTTTTATTTACCTAATAAAAATATGAATACAAATATAATTTCCATGGTCTAAATGTTTGTTTTTTTAGGCGACCCGGTTACGTACCGCATTCGGTATCGGGCGTCCGACAGTAAAATGTACCTGTACGAGGACCTCGGAAACGAAACCCATCACACGGTCAGCGGACTTGAACCGTTAAAATCATACTTGTTCAGCATCATGGCTCGTAACTTGTATGGGGACAGCTCTTACGTGTCCCAGAGTATCAAAGTTACAACAACAAGTACGTAATAATGTGATAAATAATAGTATTTTATGTCTTTTAACAATCAACTATAATAAGTAGGTACTTAGGTACACCTGTTTGTTTGTATAATATATACAGTGAAACTTTCATATTACGAAATCTCAGGGAGCACAAAAAATAATTCGTATCATAGAGAATTAGGTTAAATACAATTAAATATTATATTTGTTTCTAAGTAGGTTTGGTGTTAAAAAATATTTCGTTAAACAGAAAATGTGGTTAAATAGAAGTTTCGAGTTCATTATATGGAAGTTTCACTGTATTATATTTAGTCACATTCAGTCATTGGTCATTCCATTGGTTTAACTTATGGAGTAATAGAATCACCATAAATATCTGTTCGTGAAAAAATCATAGAACACGAGGTTATCTTGATTTTTGGACACTAAATTAAATGTGTACGATAATTATACTGCGATAATTTTGTGCTGGATTTCACATCTGCATTATTTGGCGATGGAATGTTATAAGAAGACACGTCTTCATGGTCGCACCTATCATTCCAGTCGTTTTGATTCGAAACCCTTTGATATTATGATTTACAGAGGAAAACGTTCAACCCAAGTCCGATTCGAATGCAGATAAGCCGGCCGAAGATCAAGGAATGCGCATCGTGTTCACTTTCTTGGGAGTTTTTGGAGGTGTATTGATAATCGTCAGCATATTTATTGTTTCGTACTGCATTCACAGACGTCGTAACGTCAACAAACAGATAAGCAACGGTATGCATAATTATAATGTTATATTATCCACAGTATTATATCTATCGAGAAGAATTTATTTCGAAAAAGTGTGTGTTTTGATGAATAACCAACCTTAGCCGTAAAATATTGTTAGGTTGATTTTTATTAATTGTTAATTAATTAATTTGTTTATAATTTTTTGATGTAATTACAAATGAGAATTTTCCGTTACTTTACAGAAAACAACGATTCTAGTAGTAAAACTCCAACGATCGAAATGTATGCACCGAATACATATAACGGGGGATACGACGAAAATTTAAGCTCAATTTCGGCCAAATCGGAAACATATTCAAATGTTTCTCCGGATTACAACGTAAGTAGAATCCACATAATTCTATCTGTGTCTGTGTTATTTGCATGCACGATAGACTAAAAAAAAAAAACAAAACAGGAAACAATAAATATATTTGTTATTTATAATAATATACATACAAAGCGGTTTAAGGGAGAAGGGTACATTTGTATATATATATATATATAAAAGTAATAAATAGAAAATATTTTATGGCTGTCACGGAAACTCGAATAAACAGAAAACTGTTTACAGGACGATCAACAGCAAAAGTCTGCCGAACAATCGTATTTGATCGAACAGATCGATTATCCTTTCATCAACGATTGTGATCATCCACTGCAGCCACACGTTCAATACGGCGGTGGCTTAAGTATGAGCTCCGACCAATCGGTGCAACATTACAACATGCACGAAAACACTAACGACAGAAGAAATATCGGTAAATTGAGAAAATGTTAAACCTTCCGCTAACCGCCACAAATTATATTTTAAGGCCTGCAGGACGGTCCTAAAAAGTGCATTCGCATGGACGGAGTCCTACATAACTATAATACAATTTATATATATATATAATATATAGGTATATCTATACATACAACACGCTTGAATTAATAATATGGTTTCGGTTTACGCATATAACATAACACAACGCAGCAATAATAATAACAAATTATGATGATAACGATAATATTACATTAACTGCAGTATTGTATTATCTTAATAATTCTATGGTACAAGTGTAATAACGGCACGTTTCGATTAACCTATCATCGCAATATTCTGTGCGTTGTGATAATATAAACACACGACGTGTCAGCTAGCGACACTTTATAGTCTGCTGCGAAAAAAGACATATATAAAAACATACAAACAAAAACTGACCGAAACAATATTGGCTCATCATGTGTGTTGCAGAGAATCGAACTTCCCACCTCCACCACCACCATCACCTACACCATCTCCACCACCTCCAACAGCATCAGCAGCAACAGCAACAGCAACAGCAGCAGCAGCATCAATTGCATCATCATCAGCCGCAGCAGCATCATCATCAGCAACCTCATCACGCCTTGCCGGGCGTACCGACGGCTCGGGCCGTGCCATTACCACCGATTTTGCACAACCGACCGGTGCCACCTCCAACGATACCGCCAATGGTCAGCAAGCTTAACTATTATTCGCCGCCACCTCCACCGCCTCCGCCACCTGACGTCACGGTGTTCTCGTCACAAAACGTCCTCACCACTTTCGCGCACAAACCGGACGAGACGGAAGGACACTTAGTCTGAGTCGGCCCGTTTCCGTTCAACCCCACCCGCCGCACCCCACCGAAATACCGTGAATTTCCGGTCATATGCATTGCGTGTGATTCGTTCGGTAGTGAAATTTGTCGGACATCCTGCCCACGATTATTTTCCAATCGGGTTCCTCTTTTTTTTTTCACGTCGGTAAAGACGAATCCCCCTCTCCCCATCCCGCAACACAATCCTCGGATAGGCGTACAAATCGTGCGTCGCTTATGACGGGGTCAACGGATAGTAATACGCATTTTTTTTTTGCCACACACAACTTTCCATTGTCATTTATAATAACAAAATAATGAGCCACCCTAAAATTTTACATAATTTTGCGGGAGACCTTTTTTTGATAAAATTAGTTTGAGGTTGGACCCTTGATGGGGCGGTAAGGTGGTAACCTCAGTACCCATATATTCTTATAGTTATTCGCTTTTCACATACTTGTACTCCTAAATGCTTTCGAAATAGAGTCGGTGTATGTCAATTACTCGTTATTCAGCTGTCGTTTTAATTTACTACTATTTTGAAATTCATTATCCTAATACCCACTTGATGTTAGGTTTGCTCATCAGTGGCGAATGTAATTAATTCGTGTTGTTAAAGATGTTTAAAAGTCAAAAAGTCAAAAGTCTTAAATATGAAAAAATAAATAAAATAAGTGTTATAATATTCTTAAATATTTTCTGAATCAAATCACTCGGTCTAAACTGCATTGCAAATTTTCAATTGAAAGGTTGAGAAACTCTGGTGTAACGTACTTAATATGTAGTAAGAAGTTTTCTGTCATTATATTATATATTATTAACTGGTAATCATAAGTTTTCCAACATCATTCATATGATGCTATGTATGTATCCTTGTCAAGCTTTGTCCGATTCAATGTGAAATTTCTTTCGTCTGTAATAATATTATTATTATTATAATTATTATTTATATATTATATGCATATAAAATAATATCATTTATATAATATGTATATAACATTATATATTGGTATGTATATTCTAGTCACGAATAAACATTTTTAGCTTAGATATTATTATATATACTTAAATAACGTGTGCGTTTGTTATTTACACATAAATGTATGGTTTGAAATGAATACATATATATTATACACGTATACTCATTTATACCAAAAATCGATTTCTTAAAATAGTAGTTTGTGCCACCAACAAAAAAATAGAGATTATTCATCGTCCACTCACGTAGGAATTACTCCAAACATTTACGCAAATCGGGATCTGTCTTAAAGCGTTGGTCGCCACTTTATTTTATGCTTTTTAACAATTAATTATTGTGATCTCGAAAAGGTTTAAAATTGTTTTATTTTAACTAGTCTGTTAAGTCTATATAACTATTATAAGCGCACCGAAAATTTTGGTTGACTGAACCGTGTTTTTTTTTCCTAAAATAGCTTTTCATTAAATTATTCGTACAACAATTAAATAGCTATTATAGTTTGTGATCCATTCATTTACAACATTACGACTTCAATGTATATGTATTCTTTACTACAATTTTCTTGCTATTGAGTTTCGTTAAGTTTTTGTTTTAATTTAAACACTTAAAAATAAGTAAAACATACTCTTATGATGTACCTATTATATTAAGTTCTTTACACGCTTATGTATATGCCTAATGACTATATATATATATGAGTTTATTTTGTTTAGTAAATTTATCTACCTACCTACATAATATAATTGTACAATTTATTTTTAAGTTTATTCATTATTTATAAAATAATTCGTATGTATGTAGAATAAAGATAAATATGTAAAAAGAGTCGAACACATTTTGTTGTAATTTATTTCATCCTTTGAAATCCAAGGAGATTTCTTTATAAACAAAATATTATAAGTAAATTAATTTAAGCTGTGTATATATGTGTTAGTTATACTACATGCAACCATTTCAATTAACGTTTAATTAAATATAATATCATCACATTATAGATTATGTTCGGTGAAGTTTTCAAACTTTAATAGAATTACTTACAAGGTTGGGAGTGGTGCATTTTTATTCTTAGATTTATCTAAAGACAATATTTTGTAGTTTAGGGTTGGAAAATAACTTGAAGCCACTGAAATATATTTACTGAATTAAATATCTATATTCAAATATTTACCATCAACAATATAATATGTACTCGAAATTTATTTTACTAAATATTTTTTAAAAATTTGTCTCGAAAATTATTTTTCTGGAAACCTATTATGTATTACGTTTAACGTAATCTATATATATATATATTCTACAGATCCAGCTTCATTCAACCTCGTTTCTGTATGAAGGAGGTATTCATCATTGGTTTGAATTTAAACTAACAATACAAAACTGGCTTCTCCGAGTCGATCGGGATGAGACTATCTATATACTATATATAGACTCGTACTCTGACCATATTTTAATAATAATATCATCAAAAATCACCAATAGTTGTGACATTTAAAACTTTTACCAACAAGTTAAAATATAATAATAAATGTATATTTTACATCCACTTTCATTGCTGTTTGAATTTAACAAACATCAAAAGACCCAGGTCAGGCTCTTTTTATTCGTCTCGGAAAATATTGCATTCAACGTATACATTTCACAGTAAGTAATAATATCACTTGAGACATGAATAAAGTTACGGAGAAAAAAACACAAAATAAAAGTGGTAATATCCACACACAGCGATATTTTATATAACTATTATTATTATTAAATAATTTTTTCGTTCACAACTTTTTTTTCATAATGTTACATGATTGTACTGCAGTTATCAATCAATGTAATTATTAAAAAATAAGATTAATAATGATAGAAATAAATATTAAGTTAATAATATTTTAATTTATGGCAGAATAAATACAAAGTGCAAGATATTGGACATTTTTTTAAGTAATGGAAATTAAGAAAAATACATCTAACTATAATTACGGGTATAATAATAAGAATATAATATAATTAAACAACTTACAGACAATAATAATATTATACGTTCGTAAAAAGTACCTATGTTTTTTTTTTGAGTTCATGAAGTTTAAAGAAAATAATATTTTTAAACTATTAATTGAATTTAAGTGTTTAAACGTAAATAATGTATTTTAAAAATTATTTCGTTGTTTAATTTCACTTGTGTAGTTATGTAAGCTAAACAAAATATGTTATGGTTTATTTCAAATTAATTTTCAAACATATATTATGGTACACTAGGTACCTATACTTTCTTTTTAAATCTATTGTGATATCATTTGGTACCAAGTTTTAAGGAGTTTCTTATTAAAGTTATCCATTCTATTTTTTATAAACATAATTACCTCTTTAAAGTTTGAATTGGGGCAAAATATATTGGCATCATGAATCACGACGTATTTTATTTAACCTTTTTTTAGTTGAATTTTCAAAATTTTAGTTTCGAATACTTGAAATGTTAATTCACAGTTAATGATATCGTACTATAACTATATTCAAGGAATCTAAAAAACCGTTTTTCACAATTTTTTTTACGAGCACTTTAAAATTGGAAAACTACATAAATAGTATAAAAAACCGAGTTCCACTAAGAATATTTTTAAATTGCAATGATTTATCATTGTTTCCAAATTTATTAAAAATAACGCTAAACTTTGTTGCGTCGATATTATGAGAGTGGCGAGATATAAGTGCTCAACACTTTACAATCTCTACATCCTGTACACTTTATATGTACATATACAGTACTTGAAAATTCAAATACTTGGAAATAAAATCGACTATTCAGCTTAAGACATATTAAGAAAAAAAAAAAATCATAAGTCATAAAATATAAACAAGAAGAGATTAATTCAGTAACAATAATTATTCTTTTGTTGTTTGTAGTGTACCTATTACCTATAGGTACCTTGAATCGGAATATTAAGTTACTGATATTATGTAAGTACAATGCATGTTTTTATGAGTAATAATATTTATAATTATAATTATTAAATTTTACTATGGATCAAAACATAATAATATGCAATATTGTGTTTCCTTTAAAATTGTGCTAAAAATTTACGTTTTAAAATTATTTTATATATCAACTAACCAGAAAGTAAATAAATAAAAACAAGCATTTCTACGAAACCAAATAGATATATTTATTATAGACATATAAAAAAAATAATTAGTTGTCAAACCTATAAAACAATGATAGAATTCTATGAATAAAATATTGTCAAAATTGTTTTTTTGTTTTAATTAGATATTATTTGCATTTAAATTATGATCTCTAAACTATTATTGTTAGTTGTATATTTTTATATATTTTCACAGATTATGTATTTCCATGAATGCTATAACAACAAATAGTAAAAATCGTTTTTTTTTTCTTTTTTTTTTTCGAGTTAGTCAAGGGACGGAGGAGGAACCGCGTTAGCATTATTTCTCCTCAATACTAAAAATCCTAGAATATATTATAATGTAAGGCATAAGCAGTATTGCCAAAATAGCTGATGATGGTACGGAATCCTTCGTGCGCGGGTCGCACTCGCACTTGGCCGGTTTTTTTTATTAAGCATTTGTAGAAAATATCTAAAAGCTTAAATTGAACATCTCGAAAGTACTAATTAAATACATCTGTCTTGGTACCTACCTACAAGGAAATGGGTACACGTCTTCTGACGATCAGATCAAGTCAACTGGTTGAAATTTGATTACCGGAAACCATCATTAATAATGAAGTAACCATGCTTACAAAAGTAATGATAAACGGTGAGAAAATAAAACTATTGGTAGTTTGGAATTTTGAAACATCTAAATATTTACCTATGAATTAAAGAAAGAAGACAAAATTTACATTTTTAATATATTATAATTTTGATAAATTTAAATTTGTATAATTCTTCTTTTTTTACAAAACAAGTAGGTACCTACCCGAATAAAACGCGAAATTAACATAAATGGAATTGTTTCTGTGTCTAGAGTTTCCGCTTTAGACAGTTTTCATTGCATACGTTATATTTCTCTTAATTGAAATA